TCGTCGGATGTTTCACAAGCAAATGGCTACACTGAAAAGTTTCTCACTTCTATTTCATTACGGGAGAATTATCATTCAATCCCTAGATATCCCTAGGTATATATAAACATAAAATAGAGCAATTAATTTCTATGGCAAATTATGTGTGTTAATAGCATCCTGGGAGTATCAAATTAATACAGAATGTTGAAACCAGTGCTTCTTAACCTTTTCACTACCACGCCTCTTCTAGGATTCTGCCCTTCCCTTCACACCCCCTTGCATCTGTGAATAAAATTCCCTCCCAGATGTTGAAAAATCTAATATGTTCTTAGTCTTTTTGCTGAGTACATATTAGTCACTTATTAAACGTAACATAATATGACCGTGCTCTCGCTAAGAGTTTGCGCCCCCTTGGTAATCACTGACGTCCCTAGGGTTAAGAACCACGGGTCTAAACAGAGATACTACATTAAACACCTTTATACCCGAATGCAACAACCAATTACAGAAAATAAGCACACAAGTAACTAGTACGCCACTGAAGTACCGTACCAGTACCCACCGTGTTTATAGAGATGGAGCGGCATGAAGCCCTTCCAGACGCTCATGGTGGTGAACTCGCACTCTCCTGCCGTGGTCGAGGCGAAGAGACCGTCGAAGTAGCGCCTCTTCTGGATGCCGTACTTGTAGGTCCTCAACACCTCGAAGTTAGGACACTCGACCCCTGCAGGAAGACTCGTTTTGCTGTGTCGTGAATGGCGGAAAAGGCGGCTAGAGAGATGTGGCTTCTCGTTTTTGTCTTATGAGGTTGTTGTTGTTGTGAGTCGTCAGCTATGTTAAGGGTCTTCTTCTGGTGAGACATTTATCATGATGTATGGAGAATGCAATAATAATGAGAATGGAGATAAAGTATAGGGTGGGGAATGTAAAAAAAGGGGGTGGGGACAAGAAGAAAGTAAATCTCGTCTCTATGACCTCGTTACCTCTGCACAGCTTGCTAAGGGTCTTCTGTGTGATTTTGTTGACCTGCGATGACCTGCGTCTGCTCAGGGTCTTCATAGTGGTCTGAGGGTCGCGGAAGTTGGTGGCGTAGACCCAGATCTCGTAATAAACAGGCTGATACAACTCTGGCCTGGCACGCGAAGACAACGGCAGTAAAGTTATTTCAGTTGGCGATCGAAGAAGCAGGAAGAAAGGGTTGGAAATGCATGAGGATCTGTGAGGTGCTGGACATAAATCGTCACTACTACATGGAGATAGTTCTCTCTACTGTTTTGTTCTGGTTTTGTAAACCTATCTTAACTAGGTATCATAACTAGATTACCATTAGGCAACTTATCCTCACCCTAACATCACAAATAAAATGCGATGAACATACACATCTTGGGAAAGGAAAAATGTTAAATACATATATAAAAAAGAAAAAGAATATATATAAATATATATATATATATATATATATATATATATATATATATATATATATATATATATATATATATATACATATATATTATCGGAAGCAAAAAAGTCAAGCAATACGAAACACATCTCAAGACAGTCACATGAGGGCAAGAGGACCCCACCTGCTGTAGGAGGCGAGGTAGTAGTAGCGATCGAGAAAAGCCTCTCCGTTGTGCCTGAGCTGGGCCATCAGAGTCTTCACTTTCTC